ATGATGAGTAGCTGAAAGAGAGAATGTGCACTTCCCTGGCCCTATTTCCATCCTCTGACATTCCATCACCATGTGCACATCTGCTGAAATATCTCAGAATAGGGTCTGTCTTTCCCCTTGTGACTTTAGTTGTTTTGCAATGGGTAGTTTCATGTGTCAACTGGGCTTGACTATGATGACCAGCTGTTTGGCCAAACACTGGTCTAGATGTTGCTGTGAAGGTGTTTTTTAGACATTACTTTTAAAGCATTCGACTTTATAAGTGAATCAGATCACCCTCTATTATGTAGGTAGACCTTATTCATTCAGCTGAAGGCCTCAGAACAAAAACTGAGGTCTCTCAAAGAAGAAAGAATTCTGTGGCAACATGGAAATTCTGCTGAGTTTCTATTCTTCAAACTCAAGAATGCAACATCTGATCTTACTTGAATCTTTAACTGGCAACTTCCCCTAAAGATTTCCCACTTATTTTCCCCTCAAACTGGATGGGTCAATTCTTCAAAATCAGTCATTATATCTGTATCTATCTTTATCTATCATCTAGGTATCTATCATCTATTTGTCATTTATCTATCGATCAATTTGTCCTATCTATTTGTTATCTACCTATCAACTACCTATCTACTTATTATTGGTTCTGTTTCTCTGGATAACTCTTATACATATATTGATATAATACACAACATGACCCCGTCTTACACTATGAAGGGCCTTCTTTTGTCTCTGACACCCCTCTCCTCACTTCCACCACCAAGGCCCATACCAGATGCAGGTCCATACTAGATGTGTATGATCTGTCAGGATTGTCCCTGCCCCACTCATTGCCTTCCTAAAGTTGTAGTTTCCAGTGAATGTAGACACAGAGTGGTGTATGACAGATGGGGCAGGGGAGAGGAAGGGAACCCTACTGCAGAACGGGGCCACATATGCCATGGACAAGGTTACTCTGTTTTATCTTTTCTTCCAATTCTCTTTTTCTTTCTTCATGGTTCCATACAAGAGCCAAGTTTTTCTCTATTCCTTGTTCCCAGAAAGAGGAGCAGAAGGGCCTCCTAGAGAAGTGCCCAGAGCTGGGCTTGGAGGAGCATCCTGGTCAACCCCAGAGCTTCCTCTTCCAGCATCTCCAGTGTGCTTGACTGGGCTCCTCAGGTTAGTGGTGCCTGATGGTCCAACTCTTAATCAACAAAGGAGAATAGGCTGGGGACCACACTTGGGCAATGATCTGAGGCCATGTCTCAAATCCAGCTTTTGCCAGAGAAGCATGAATTCTAGAGATTATTAAGCACTGACTTGGCCACAAAGAAAAAATATACACTTTTAAATTCCTCTTTAAATATCAGTTCTTTTAAGGAATTCTAAAGAGAAGGAGGACCTTCTAACACTTAAGCCTTCTACAATGTTCTCAGACAGGGCAATTTATCTCTGATCTGGAATCTTCTAATTATCCTGCTTGCTTTTCTGTAATAATAATGACCACAACTTTTGCACACGTATCCTAACTAGAAGGCTCTGTGTGAGAGAAAAATGTCAAAGCATCCTCTTTTATTTACCATCATCCAATAGGTGCCTATCATAGTCCTTGTACTTACAGTACTTACATACTATCTAAGTAATTTATGAACAAATAGATGGATGTTTGGCTACGTGGATGGCTCTATTAGGATCTTTCTCTCAGGTAGCACAGTAATTAAGGAGATAATGGTAGATTTCCTTTATTTATTTAATATGTAACTAGGAATTAGTGTGATGCAAAAAGGTATGTAATTTATTGAACATAAGTTTCTTCCTCCCATTTTAGAAAACTGGGGTGTTTTCCTGAGTGCAGAGTTTTTACTCCTTTATATCTCTCTCAGGTTTTCTTTCTTTCTTCAGTATTTTCTGTAGTGATGGGGCCCTACCATGTTGGCCAGGCTGGTATTTAACTCTTGGGCATAAGCGATCCTCTGGCCTCTTCCTCCCAAAGTGTTGGGATTACGAACATAACCCACCATGCCTGGGGTTCCTCCAGTTTTGTGAGGGTGTGTCTATGCTCATGTCTTTAAATCTTCCTTATATGCTGCAAAACACTCAGTCTGAGCATGGGCATAATTTCTTTGAAGCTATCTAATAGTCCTTTATGCTCACTCCTAGTGAACTTTAGTTTTCTCTGACTCATATTTTCCTTCAAATCCATTCTGATTATTCACCTACACATTCAACATACAATAACAGAGAACTATAAAGCTTTCCTTATGCTTCATGTAACACTATTTCATCAGCCCCCAGCACTGAATCTATCTCTATCTCTTTTGCTCCACTTTTTCTGCTTCAAGTGTAGCTTTCAAAATAGTTTTGCTCATAGGATTTTTACCAAATCTGTCAAATGTTTCCTGGGATTTATCATCCGGTGTATGCTTTGGAATGAGAAGAAGAAAAAAAGACCATTGTAGGAAATACACAATAGGATTACAATTTAGGAGGATAATGCAAAATTTCCATTAGTGTATTCATCATTTCCAGTGAGGCATAATCCCTTTGACAGGTTTATATTTTGGAAAGAAGCACACCATTAGTTATGGAAACAGCAAAAGGAAAGAAAGACCTTGCTCTGTGAAAGTTCTCCCAAAAGCAACTTAAACAGGTGCCATTACTAACTTCAAACAGACTTTACATTGGTGTAATTTGCTAGAAGTATGGTAGGCAATTTTATCTAGAAACCAGTTACTCTTTAAATCATGGTGAGAAAGGGGAAAATATTTAGAACTTCACATGTGAATAAGATTGGTTTCATTAGCATTTCATAGACATGCTTCCTCTCAGCATGTCTAATGAGGGAGACTTTCCAGATGCACTGGACATTCTGCTCTCTTCATTTACAGTCTTGAGTGAGCAGACCTCTTAATATATTGCCTTCAAATTCCTCTCCTTCTTTGGCTCTTGCTCTCAAAATGTCATACTCCAGGGAGTTTGCTGTTGAGGGAGCAAGGTGCCTTTGCTATGGGGGAAATTTATGCTTTTCTCTTGCAGGAAGCTTCAGAGGCAGCGTTGCATTGAGCTCAATACTTCATGCAAGACATGGGTTGTCCAGTTGGTTGTGCCCCAGACAGCTAACTAAGGTATGACTTCCTTGTGCCCTTATAGGCTGCTAAATAACCTGAATGTTGGAGATGGCATTTTCATGGTGCAGGTAAATTATATCGTGTCATAAACTATCACTGGTGCCATGCTTCTGGAACAAGTGCATAAACATCTATTGAGCACTTACTAGTTGAAAGGCTATGTGTCAACTATTTTTGGATAAGCTGAATCATATGAGCTTCACAAAGCCCTTCAAGTATTATGACTTTCATTGTATTTGGTGCAGAGAGAGTAAACAACTTGCCACAAAAGGTGCAAACAGTAGAGTATACAAGGATAGAAACCAAGTCTTCTCATTCCATACATTCAGTGACTTACAAACACACCTTGGGGAGATGGAACCTATACTTCACAAAGGGCAAATGCTTACATGAGGCCATGATTGTGCACAAGGTCCAGTGAGTGACAAAGACCCCCAAGGTCATGGAAATGACAGGATTTGGAAGCCAGCTTGAACAGCAGTAGTCTAGAAAGCATGGCATATCTCCTTGCTACCTGAGGTGGCCTAGCATTCCAAGTAAGCAAGGAGGAATTATTGAAGGGGATTGGAAGGGAAAGTTACTTTGAAGGGAAGTATCTCTTCCAAGCACCCATTCTGCTCAGACTACAACTTCTTTTCATTTTAGAAAAGCATTTATCTTGTTCTGTAGAACATGTATGGTTATAAACTATTAATAATATGGTTTAAATTAATTTTGTGCATTGGTGATAGCAAACTGAAGAATTATTTTTGCAAGATGGTGTATTATTTGCAATTGCTGCATGACAAATGACCACCAACTTAGTGGCTTACAGCAACACCAGTTGCTATCTCAGTTTCTATGAGTTAGGCATCTGGAAATGGTTAGCTGGGTTCCCTGTTCAGTTCCCACCAGGTTGAAACCAAGGTTTCAGCTGGGCTGTGTTTTTTTTTCATGATCAAGCTCACGGTCTCCTTCTCAGCTCACAAGTTTGTTGGCAGAATACATTTTCCTCTACTTGTGTGTTTGAGGTTTCTGCTTTCCTTCTGGTCACTTCCGAAGACAATGTTCAGCTAGTAGCTGCCTAAAGTTTCTTGCCACATGGTCCCCACAGGGAGTTCACAACATGGCTATTTGCTTTCTTTGTTGAATATAACAGGTTCTGCTGCTACTTGTCCATTTTAATGGCTCTGCTGGCTTCATCAGTCCCACGCAGATGATCTTCCTTTTGGTAAACTCAATGTAAACTGATTAAGGATGGAATCACGGGAGTGGCATCCATCATATTTACTGGTTCTGCCTATCCTCAAGGGGAAGGGAATACATACAGCATATATACCAGGGGCTGGGAATCTTAGGGTGCATCTTAGAATTCTGCCTGCCTCAGGTAACAAAAAGGGAAGAAAACAAGATACAGGTCCAATGGGGAAAGCTGACAGGTTTCATCCTGAAAGCCTGGATATGGCTGCCTGGAGAAGGATCATGAGATTATACGATGAGCTAGAAGGGAAAGAGTAGCAGGGACTGATGGGTGTTATTATCTGGCCCACACTTGTCTGTTTTGGTCAATGGTGTCAACCTATGTAGCATGCCTCTAGAGGTGAGGCAGTTATTGCAAAAGGATTTGCATGCATATAGGCTTTAAAGAAGTGTTTATAGATTGAATAAATAGTAGATTTTACACACTTGCATAATTTTCACAGGTAGCCCATGGTATATTTGTTTCCTACTGGTGCAGTAGCAAATTACCACATGCTTAGTGGTTCAAAACAATACAAATGTATTAACCTATAATTCTGGAGGTAAGAAGTCTGAAATGGGTCTCAGTGAGCTGAAATCAAACTGTTGGCAGGGCTGTTTTTCCTTAAGGCTCCAAGAGAGAATCTGTTTTCATGCCTTTCCACCATGAACACAGCACACTACCTGTATTCTTTGCCTGGTGGCTCCTTCCTCCATCATCAAAGGTGTCAACCTGAAATAATCAAAGGGATCAGAATATAATTTTAAAAAGCTTTTCAACAGCAAAGTTTGAATTTGTCCTCTTTGGAAGTAAAAACTTCAAAGGAATGCAGTCAGAGCTCAGAGGTGAAAAGGTTAAGGCTTCACACTCATTTAAGCAAATAAAGCGTTTACCATGATTATAACACTTTCAAGTAAGAGTGGGTTTTGAGTTGCAGCAGTTTGATTTGTTGCAGATTATTCCTTTTAAGGAAAGGTATATTTAACAGCCAATATTAAGACAGCCATGGTGGCTTGTACCTGTCGTTCCAGCTCCTCAAGAGGCTGAAGTAGGAGGACTGCTCGAACCCAGGAGTGCAAGGTTGCAATGAGCTATGATCACATCCCTGCACTGGACTACTGAGTGAGGCCCTGTCTCTAGAAAATAATTTTTATTTTATTTGAAGAAATTATTATCTTAAGCAATTTAATAGCCATGGGATCTTTTGCACCATCTGGTCTGAATTGGGTGAAAGCAAAGAAAGAAGGCAGTTAATCTATAATAAAAGGTCAGTAATTAACAGTGAAGGAGTCATCTCTCTGGTGCTATTTAGTTTCTCCGAACATTTTACAAACAAGAAAAAGTTAGAAAGAGGGTTAATTTATCATCGGTGAAGCAAAGGTTATAGCTCCTGGCTGCATGACTCAGATCACAATTACATTTCTCCAAGCCTCAAAATAATTTAACATTCAAACAGCTTCAATTTGATAAATTTATTTTCACAAAGGACATCACTTCAACTACCCTCATCATCCTATCTTCTCTTTCTGATTCTTTCATTATATCTTCACTTGCCTCCCTTGATGAAGACTCCTGTAATTACACTGGTCCACGTCAATAGTCCTGGATCACCTACCTTACTTAATGTTAGCTGATTACAGACTTTAACCACAGCTACAAAACACCATTTGCTATACCAAAATTTCCAAAATAGCAATACCCAGATTAGTGTTGGATTGGATAACTAACTGGGAACCGAGTTTGTATATCTAAAACTGATAAACACAGATGTGATGAACAAATATATAAACTTATTTCAAGGTATTGCAGGATTTTAAAGAACATTATGTACTTTATCAGCCATGACTCTTGTATCTGTGGCCATGGAGAGGTGGTCCTGAATTCTTCTGATGCTATTCAGTGGTATGCATGCTGTAACAGAATGAATGGGGACACTGATTAATGAGGGAAGGAGAGAATTTCTGGGAAAGGTGGAAGCTCCTGACACCCTTGAATTCACCATCAAAGCAACAAAGACTCATTCACACACTCCTGAATGGGTGAGAGAAAGGGAAAAAGAGAGATGAGAAGGAGTTGAAGACAAACTTCACCCAACTTGCCATTTTGTAAAGGTTTGTTCCCCCTTCTATTGCCTTACCCTACTTTACCTTGAATATTATTGATTTTGGTCTTAGCTGAAAATGAAACACAAGGCTGTTATCAGAAATTTTGTGCATTAGCATTCAACATTTTCAAACTTTACTGACTGAAAAATCACAGGGAAATTGAAGAGAACAATGACTTTCCCTTCCCTCTAATGAGCAATTAAATGGGATGAATATGTCATACACAATGGTGAATGTTGGAATTCATAAGCTGAAATGTTGATGCATGACTATTTGTATACTTGACATCTCATAATTACATCATTTATCATAAAAAACTTGGCAATCTTAAATAAAGCACATTAATAATTAATTTTCTTCCCCGGGAACGTCCAACTAATTTCACAGTCAAAAAGTCCGTGTTAATTTCTTTTCTATCAGCCACAGGCCACAGATTAATGTATTAAAATCAGAACATTTACACTAATAGACTAATTGAATTATTTCCTCTGCTGTAGCAGGAAAAGGCATGGTTCTTATGCTAATAATCAGTCACCACAATAAACACCATTTAATTCTCATTGAAAGTCAAGTTCTTTTTAATGGCAATTTTAAACTGTCAAGTGGGTTGAGAAATTCAGTTTATTTGAGTAATACAGAATATACACTTTTGCATATCATTATTGTTAATATTCTTTAAGCAATGCTAATAGGAAACTCATTCAAAGAATATTTGCCAGTAAATGAGTTTCAGTCATCAACAGATGGATAAAACAGGGAAAAAATTATCTCAATTCTATAGAATAATGAGTGCAGATTTTGAAATGTTTGGGCCGACAGACTTTCTCTGGCAAATATGATTTAGTAAATATGGTACATATTTCAAAATAGAAACACCAGGCATGACAGCTTTCCACTTGAGAGCAAGATCTGGATCACCAGAAGCAAGAGAAGAAATGTTAGGATACTCATTCCGAGTGTTAAAAAATATGGCAAAAGAAAACACATTGTTTGGAATAGTGTTCTGAAAACATAAGCAAGAAAAAATATGACAAGATGGTCTCTATGGATCAAAGATTTTTAGATGTGTTCTAAAACCATAAGAAAAGAATAAGTGTGTCAAGAGGTGGATTTTGTGCATAACATGACAAGAATGAGAATAACATAATGCCACAAATCTATCTCAGGTCCCCCCAAAGGAAAGAAAATACATATTTAATATTTTATATATTAAATATATATCATTTAAATATATAAATATATATTTAATATTTTAATATATCATATATTACATATATTTTTATATATTTAATATTTTATACATTATATATTATTTAAATATATTAATATGTTTTATATATTAATATTTATATATAAATATATTCTCAAATATATTCTCAAATATATTTATATATAAACATATTTTAAATACATACTTATATATAAATATATATTTAATATTTAATAGTTCTTGCATACTTTGGTGGTTCTGGGTTAAGGTCCAAAAACTTTCAGGATATCTCCTCAATGTCTAATAGAAAGGAGATTGAAGGATAATTTTGAGGCTACACGAAAAACATTTTCTTCATTCAAGACATAAAAGGCTTATTAGAGAAGATGGCTTTCTTGATACAGCCAGCACTTAGCAAATTACCTTGCATATAACAAGGGTTCCCTATATACTGGTGGCACAAGTGTAATTCCTTCCATGATTCATTATTAATCAATTTCATATGGTAAGTCAGCCAATTTTCCATATGATATACCCTTTATTTTGCAACACCTTGGCAATGTTGGCATCATTGTTAAAACGTTACAGATGGAGAGGCTGAGGTTTAGAAATGTTCAGGACGGTCAAACAGGCTGGCACTTGGCAAAGACGGATCTCAATCCAACCACTTTCCTCCACCTCCAGACTCAACACTTTCCAGTTGCCTGCTATGTGTGACAAATGCAGTCATGCGGGAGATCCTACACTTAAGGAATTTCTCTACAGGCTGCAACGCAGCTAAGTTTCTCTTAAAGGCTATGGAAAATATTTGCATGTATCTACAGTAAAAAGAGGAGGAGAAGGAGCAGTAATAGGAAGAGGCAGAGAAGTTGAAGAGAAAATATTAGAAAAAATTTGAATTACAAGAAGACAGATGATGAAGAAAAATTAGAAAAAAAGAAAAAAGTAGAAAAATTGGAACGAGTACAGAAAAAGGAAACGGAGAAAGAGGGAAGAGAAGGAAGAGAAAGGGGAGACAGAGGAGGGGAAGAGGGTAGAGGAGAAATAACAGTAACTTGTGGCAAGAGAGACACAATTAAAACTAAGAAACTATTTCATTTTGAGTGATAGTAAAAAAGAATGCCTTAAGGCAGGTATACAATTTTTAGTTCCTTTAAAATTTTCAACAAGACAGAGGTATTTCATACTTCCTGCATACTTCTTATATGCTGATAACTTTACTGAAGTATCTAATTTAATCCTCTTATGCTATTTAGGTCAACTATTCTTCTTTGCATCTTACAGATAAAACAATTTTCATTCTTAGAAGGTAAAGCCACCAATTTACCAGTAGACAGAGTAAAGCTTTGAGACAGTGAAGACACAGATAGCAGAACTCCAAAGGAATGGCTAGGGCACCAATTGGGAGTTACTGGAATTGAGGCATTAACTGTGCTGCTGTGTCTCTATACAGTTGCTGGGGTCATGGATTCCGTTGCAAGGAATGACTGTCAGTAGCAGTCTTTAGAGGACAATGCTAGGTCTCTCACAGGAGCCCTCAATACTCCCCTCTTGCCAGTGTGACTGCTAAAACCTTGTGCCTGGGCTTCTTCCCCAAAAACACTGCGATGCCTTGGGATTCTGTTTCTCTCCACCCCAGGAAGGCCCCTTGACCAGTGACTTATATCTGCAGCAAGTTCAGAGGGATGGATGGAATCTGGATCTTTTGATTTGGGTAAGGTAAACTCTGAAGCCCACCTCACACTCCAAAGCCACTAGCAGAGTCAACCTCTGCAGGACTTTTTCTGAAATCACACCCTTACTTGGCTTCCCTCACCTGCCTCACTCATTGCTTTATCTGCATACTTCTTTGGATTCTTTTTTCTTTTATTTTTTGAGATGCAGTCTCGCTTTGTTATCCAGGCTGTGCAGTGGCATGATCTCAATTCACTGCAACCTCTGCCTCCCCAGTTCAAGTGCTTCTCCTACCTCAACCTTTTCAGTAGCTAGGATTACAGGTTTGTTTCTGGCTAATTTTTGTATTTTCAATAGAGATGGGGTTTCACCATGTTGGCCAGGTTGGTCTTGAACTCTTGACTGCAAGTGATCCTTCTGCCTCAGCCTCCCAAAGTGCTGGAGTTACAGGTGTGAGCCACCATGCTCAGCCAGCATATTTCTTTATTAAATAACTTACAGACCAATTCTTATCTCAAGGTTAGCTTCTGAGAATCTGAGCTTGGACATATTCACATACTACGTTAATTTTTTAAAAATAAAATCCACTTGCACAAAGATTATCTTCATCTCAATTTTGAGATTATTATTCATTTTAATTTTATAGTTTCCTTTTTGTATTTTGGAGGCAACACTGTGTTCTAGAATGCGAGCATTTCTGTATGTGTTTGAAAATCTTGTATAGACACTGGGCATTTTGCTCA